GCCTGCTACTTGGAAAGCTTGGCAGTTCAAACCTACCCAACAGTTCCATGGGATAAAAGACCTAACAATTTGCTCATAAAGATTACAACTTAGAAAAGCCTGTGGGACAGTTTTACTTTGTCACGTCAGGTGGCGGCTAAAACCAAACAAATGAAACCCAATGGCGTCAAATGACAAGGAGTTGAAACGGACTGAGGAGAGCATAACCTGACAGCAACACCAGCGTGCTGTTCTCTTTCATGGCCAGTGTGCCGAGTCACCACTTGGTAAATGTGTGTGGTCTTTTAAATACTTTGACATGCTGAGACAAAATTTTTTTTACCAAAATAGTTGGCTCATAAATTGTGTAAATTGACCAATGGTTACTATGGGTGAAGGAGGAAGAGTTTTTGCTTAGAGTCATTGAATTTATGCTAATGGTGGTGGAATAATTTGGTAAAGGATATCAATAATGATTGTACACAGTGAAGTATGATCCATGACACTGAGTTATCCGTGTGAAAGTTGTGGAATTGGACAATGTTTTGTTGTGTATATTTTTGCAACAATTAAAAAAATAATGACACGAATAACAATGAGTACAAGAAAGATGAAAATTTCTCAGATTGATGGTGGTAATGATTGTGCAGCTCTTCTTGATACAATTGAATTATTGAATTGTATGATATGTGGATAAAGTGCCAATAAACCTGTTTTTTAAAAATTAATTCTGTAGTGTAAGTTTCTAACTGTATGGAAATTGGCTAATTATCCCCAAATGTGCATTTTTTGAGCCTAAACTTTTTGCCTTTTGTTTAGAAGGAGCATTGAGCTAAGGACTCCCTTCAGGTGATATTTGGCTCATTTCTCATTCCTTTGACACTCTTACTAAGTTTTACTTTTGAGGGGGGAGACCGTTTTTCTTAATTCACTGTGCACTTAATGAAGCATCGGTTTTACTTCTGCTCCTGCTCTTCACCTTTATCAACCTCACTTGCAGTTAGAAGTCATGCTAAACTTGAAGCCTATGAGTTATTAAATGTTAGTAAGACTTAGTCCTGTAGCACAGAATACTCGACTTTTTAACCTAACTCCATTTTTTTTTCTGTAGAATTCATCATGGTGCCAACTAACAAATTCTTAGATTTGTTTTTCTTGAAATAATAGTGATGTGTTCACAGGATCCCCAAATCTGTGATACCTGGGCCCATGCTAATTATATAAATAATATTGGAACTAGAAAATTAGAGAAAATATCTGATTGGTTATGGAATTGAAGTCGTTTATTCACTTATGCATTTTTTCTCAGATCATTTAGTTTTGGAGAACTTTTTTTATGTAAGATTTTTGACAAGTGTAAATTTTATATGCTTCAGTCTTAGCTCTGTTATTAAAATAATACATGTTTTAGTGAATGTTCAGTAGGTATTAGTTTGTTGGTTTCAGAAATCTGAATTGTCATATTGATTATTAAGATAGTCTTATAAATTTTTATTTTTATACCCATGATTTAATTAAAATGTTTAAATATTCATTCAGACATATGTATATATAATAATTATGTGTGTGTATAGTGTTGTTTCAAACCATTTTATTAGGAGCTAATCTAGACATCATTCCAATCCATATTTCAGTCACATCAAGCAGTGTTATGCGATTGCTACCACAATCAGTTTTAAAACATTTTCTTCCTTCATGAACTCCTTGACATCCACTTCCCCACCACCTCCAGTAAAGCCCCCAGAAACCCTTTTTCTGGTTATTGTCTCTATTCTTTCATCTATCCTGGGTTTCATATACTGACAAACATAGAAAAGTCTATAAAAAGAGTTGAGAAAGCTACTAACTGACAAACATAGAAAAGTATATAAAAAGAGTTGCGAAAGCTACTAACTGACAAAATACAAGAGACAAACCCAATATGAAAAAAAAATCCACAGAAAAATATTAAAAATCAGATCAAACACAAAGTATATCAAAAGAGACAAGGTTTTAACCGTTCATGTTAGATGTTGTCTCTATGCTTTAATGGTAGCATTCCTTCCCTTTCCTGTATCCTCTGTCTCTATGTTTCTTCTCTTTCAACCTTCACCCGATGTGCATACACCACAAACCCAGCACTGCCATTGACTGATTCCTGCTCAGAGGAAGCCTGTATTGGGTTGCTGGGGCTGTCTGTCTCTTTAGGAGCAGATAGCCTTTCTCCCATTGAGTGGGTGGTGGGCTTTTTGTAGTTAGTCTAACGCTTACCCAACTCTGCCACCAGCACCCCCTTCCCATACACACAGAAGGTGTTTATCCAACAAATTTTCATGTTTACAAAAATGTTTACGTGCATATATTTGTACAAGTGTGTGTAGGGATTTGTAGCGACGTTTTGTTTTATAGATACGAAATCTTGCATACTTTTCTGCACCTAGCATTAATTACTCAAACTCCTGGAAATCTCTGAGAGTCAACTAATCGGGCTCTATACAAGTATCTTCTAATGTAGACTTAATATTCCTAAGTAGACCTGTATCAGCAATAACTTCACATATTTCCTTTATTAATAATCATTCATAATAACAATAAGTACAAGAAAAAATGTTCTAAAATTAAGTGAGGTGATATGATTGTACAACTCTTTAATATGATTGAACTTTTAATTGTATGAATTATGTTCCAATAAAACTTTAAAATTTTTTAAATTTTCACTGTATTAGCAGTTTCATATCTCTATAAAGAAATAATAGTTTCTCACGCGTGTATGTATCCATGCACATACACTCACGCAGTCACCTTCTAATGCTTTCATTTCTGGGTTAATTACTGGGAAGGTTATGTTTTTGTTTACATCAAGATTCTTATATAGCTTTCCAAAAGGTTTGTAATAATTTCACATTTGCGCTAGAAATGTAGAGCTATAACTCAAGCAGTAGATTTTATTAGGTTTTTAATAATAACAGTTAAAAAGTTACTTTTTCCTAAGATTATATTACTATTAAGTTGTAAAGGTAGGATTAAAAATACTAAAGACTGGTTCCAAAATGAAATATTTGATAAAAATTACTTTGAAAATGGAAAACATAGTAGACAAATTGACATGGTGGCTATATCATGAACATTACCATTATCTCTGAATTCTTAATTGCAAACAATGGAGCAGTTAATGTACAGTTATTTATAGCAAAGCAACTTTACTTTGATCAAAGAACAATATCACTTATTCTTTCAGTATATGGTCTATGAATTAAATGCTAGAAATTATTTTCTACAAATCTCAATAATTGGTTCTTTTAAACGTTTTTTAGAACAGAAGAAAGTTAAAGTAAAAAAACCAAAACCTGAATTTCCTGTGTACGCGCCTTTAGAAAGCACATATATTGAATCTTATGATCATGGAACTTCAATAGAAGAAATTGAAGAGCAAATGGATGATTGGCTGGAAAACAGGAACAGAACACACAAAAAACAGGTAAAGAATTTTAAGACATGTTGTGGCTGAGTGAAAGACCTGCAGGAAAGCGCATAACATGCAAAGGTTCTGCTTGGTGAATGTACACAAACTGAATCAAGTTAATCATCACCGAAGTGGAGTAATAGAACGGTGCCAGTGCCGGTGTGCAGAAACCCTCTCACACTTCCTTCAGCACCACCCCCTTTTCTCTTCCTCTAGGGAATAACAGCAGTCCTTAACTTCTAATGCCGTGGTTGGTTTTGCCTTCATTTTGCAGTTTAGCTAAATCATCCTATAACCTGTTTTTTTACATCTAACTTCCTCTAGTCAATATCCTTTCCTATTCATGAGCTATCTCCATTATTTTATTATGGCACGTAGCAGTAGTTTGTTCATTTTTGTCTCGGTGTCATAGTCTAGTTATAAATATAACACAGTTTATTTTAGTTCCATTTGGGGGCTATAATAAATAGTTTTCCCATGACTAGTCATACACATGTATTCTAGTACACACATATATAAATTTTTAGTTTTGCAGCTGTAAGGCCATGCAGTATATATATAGTTCAACTTTCATAAATACTGCCGTATGAGTGTTTAGTTTTGCCACAATGTTCTCATCAATTTTTTTTCAATAAGTGAAATTTTTTATTGTGAATTTACATGGGGGTTTACATTTCAGAACATCAACTATGCATTCAACAGTTCAAACCTCTCATCAACCCGCCTCCCCCACTCCCCATATTGTTTGCATCAATTTTTGCTTCACTAACAGACTACAAAAATGCCAGTTTTTATATTTTAACCATGGGTCATGATGCAGTGGTATCTAACAATGGTTTAATTTGCAAAGCTCTGATGAATAATACAATTGAGCCCCCTTGCTGATGTTTATTGGACATTCATTTTCTTTGTGAAGTGTCTCTTCAAGTCTTTTTTTTTAATTGGGCTGCCTGGCTTTTTTGTCCTTTATTATTATAGTGTGAGTAAAAACCTATAGAGAAAATTCAAAAAAAGAAAAAGAAAATTCATAGATATATTCACAGTCCACACACAGCTATATGCAGGAATATTTCTCTGTCAAGTCGGTATAAATTTGTGGATGTACTCCCATTTGTTTTCCCACATCTGTTCAGCTTATATGTCTGCCTATGTTTCTACTTGTGCATGTTAGCTATTACTGCAGGGTTGCGTGTATGATAGTATCTATCTTTGTCTTTTATACTTATAAATCTCCCAGTGATTTTTTTTTTTTGACATTAGTCATGTTATGTTGCCAACTCCTGTATTACTTATCTTTTCTGTATACTCATTGATGCAGTGGTTGGTAGTGGTCGCTGGGCACCATCTGTAGTTAGTGATTTACCTCTTTTCCCTTTCAGTTTGGTAACTATCAAAGAGTGTTTCTTCCTGCAAACCTTTTCTTGACTCTATAATAATGGCCTCGTATAATTCTCCTTTTGTAATTGACTTATTTCATTCAGGCTAATATCCTCCATTTTCATCCTCCTTAAAGAGGTGTTTCATGGTATGCACTCTGGCTTGTTTATCTGTTCATGTGATGATAGCATACAGGTTGTTTCTATCTTGTTTATAAATAATGGTAGAGTGAACGTGGATAAGCATACATCTGTGCATGTTACTGCTCTTATTTCTCGAGGATATGTGCCTTAGTAGTAGAGTTGCTGGCCTGTGTGGGATTTCCACTTCTAGTTTTTTAAACAAGTGCCATACCACTTTGTTCTATGGTTATATCCTTTTACAATCCAACCAGCGGTGTGTGAGAATTGTAGCTCCTCCATCCCTCACCAGCTTGTGTAGTTTTCTCTGTGCTTTTGTTTTGACTTGCATCTCTCTAATGGATTGCCCACTAAGGAAATCAAGTACAGCTGCTCAAAACCATCAGCCACTCCCCGGGAGAAACACAAGGCTTTCTACTTCCGTAAAGAGTTGCAGTCTCGGAAACCCACAGGGGCAGTTCAACCCTGTCCGATAGTGTCACTGTGCCTCAGAATCAAGTCCATAGCAATGAGTTTGGACTTGGAATGGGTTTATATCTTGCTGAATTGTAAACTGACCTTTATGTATTTCAGGAAGTGTATTTTACACATATTTTCTCCCACTTTGACTTGCCTTTCAGTCCTTTACTGTACTGTCTTTGGATGACCAGAAGTTACTAATTTTAGTGGTATATTTTTTGTGCAAAGCATCACAAATGTATTCTACATCTGTCTTCCTGCATTTTGCTTCTTTATTATGTTTTTTAATTCGATTATATACATTTTAATTCCCATAAGCTATTGTTATCATTTTTATATATTCTATTTGTTTAGACTTTTTACCTACTTAACCTCTTTTGTTCATCATAACTTCAGTATCTCTGTACTTCTAAGTGGAATTATTTTTCATATTTCGTAGGGCTTCCCTTAGCATTTAATTTTTGTTCTACTGATGATTAGTTATTACACTTTTTGTTTGTCTTCTTTCAATTTTAGTAGTTGGAGGATATTATTAATTGTGTTAGTCTGGGTACCTTAGAGAAACAAATTTACAGAAACTCATGTATAAGAGAGTTTTATATAAAGGTTAAGTGCGCATCAAGAAAACATCCCAACCCACGCTGCCCAAGCCTACAAGTCCAACATTAACCCATATGTCCAACACCAATCCACAAAGTCCTCCTCCATCTCACAAAACACACGCAATGACGCCGACTGCAGGAGGAAAGCCAGTGAATATGTAAGCATCTCTGCACTGGCAAGGGTCTCCACATGTGTGCTCCAGCACCCAAGGCTGCATCGGGGTAGGTCCACGTGGCTTCTCCTCAAGGATGTCTTGCAGGAAGTGAGCCTTGCCAGCTAAAGCAGGGAACTGGCTAAGGCAGCTGCTTGTCTGACTATCAGAAAGCTAAGCACCCTGGTCCGACCATCAGAAAGCAAGAGACCCGAGAACTAGAAGGGTGAGGCTCATGGAGCCATTTATCCCTCCACCCTTCAATTAGCCCCACGTGTTTTTCGGCCAGGTTGGCACAATAAACTAACTCATTAATGAATGCAGAATTTTAGTTCAAAAACATTTTATTTCAACACATAATTTTATTGATTTCTAGCTTTCAATTAGCTATATCTCAAGCAATAGATTTTGAGCTCTGGTGGTGGTCAACTACTAACTGCAAAGTCAGTGGTTCAAACTCACCAAGCATTTGGTGTGAGAAACATGAGGCTGTCCTGCCACCATAAAGATTTACAGTCTCCAAAACACCCATAGTAAGTCTCTATGTGTCAGGTTTTTGGTTTGTTGTTGTTTTGTTTTTTGCTTTGTTGGTTTGTTTAGCTTCCATTTCTTTAAATGCAGCTTATCTTTTCATACATACCTTTAATGTTTTCTAATTAACTCTGGTTTTTATCAATTTCACTAGAACGTACCTGGATGTATTCATCCCTTTAGTGTTCAAAGTGCTTCTTAATTTTGTGGCTTAAAGTCTTTCCTCAAGTTTGGAAGATTCTCAAATTTTATATCTTAAAATATTACTTCTGCTCCATTCTTTCTGTTTTTCCTGGACTCCAGTTTCATGTATATTAGACATTCTTTCTGTATTCCCTATGCCTCCAACTTGTTTGTCTTTCTATCCTTAATCTCTTCATGCTTTATTCTGCATAAATAAATCTTATGAAATCTGTGGCTCACACTCTAGATTGTTCCCATATGATCATAACAAAAGTATGCATATTTTGAGAAGGTTCACAGATCACATTAAAAACCTTTATTCTCCAGCACGTTTTATGTATTTTCATCTCTTTCTCCTATGGACAAAAGTGTGTAAGTTATGGACTATCTAAATTTAATTTAATTAAATATGTGCCTGAAGATAGTTTGACCTACTCCAATTATTACTCCGGGATCCCTACCCCAAATATCAACTCTTCCCATGTAAAACTATATAATGGCTCATCAATCATGACAGTATATGCTACAGTAAGGTTTTTGTGCAAATGGTCATGAACTGGTTGGTATGAGATGTCCTCTGAAAAAGATAAGCTATATTAATAGAAGTTTAGCATCCATATTGGGACTGGCTGGTTGTGTTTTGAGTTTTTTGGTGCATACTGGATAGCTCAACTGTAGTAACATTATGGAAAAAGTAGAGACAAATAGTGAAATTAATGGTCATTAGGTTTAGAATAAAATCGTAGTAGGTTCTCATTCACCTGACCTGTCAGATCTAGGGATCTAGTAATTCCCATTTTTACTAATGCTAGAGTTTGGATCTCTTAATTTAAAATAATTTTTATAAGTAATCTGTATGTATTCATACATAAAAGAGGGGCTGCAAAATGTTCACGGAAAATAGAATTAAAAGATAGGGAATTTTTCCATGAAATTTTTGAAGATGCCTCATATATGAGCAGCACACTTTAAAATACTTGAAAAAGTATGTATTTTTCTACAGTGACCCTTGAAGTCTACTTATACTAAAAATTATACTTGAATATTTTGACCATATACTAGAAGGTGCAGTGTATTGTTGTTAATATCCAAGATAGGAATATTGATGTATTGACTATTGAGGCATTCAAAACTTTAAAGAAATGCAACAAAAAGTTAGTGGAATAGATGAAAAAAACTCCTGAACAAGGCAAATACTAAAGCTTATCATGCTACGATACGACTGTTTTTTGGGGAATTCTCTGTGCCTCTAATTGATGTTTACGCGGCCACATTGACTGAAGTAACTCCAGGTGTTAGGGGAACACTTTAGGGGGGATAAGGCATGCCAAGTTGCTCTTTCAGAGTGTTCCTGTAAAGTAAACGTGTCCTTGCTGCTTCCTCTGCCCGGGTCAGCTCTCAACCCGGGACTGAAAGACAGCACTTGTGGATACAGTCTGCCAACAATTAGTACTGCTGTGCTCCACCCAAATGTGCAAACACATGTCTTTATTTAATGTGTGTAAAACAGCATTTGTAGAACTCCTCTTGGTGTACAGATAATTTAGGAGGCAGTTGTTTGCTTTACAAAT